GGAATCCATCTTTTTTTCCCTCCATAGCTCTGTTAAATATCAGGATAGACTGGGTCCTATAGCCTTGGTTGGAAATCAGTCTACTGCAGAAAGTAACAGAAGCTTAATGTAAAGATTCTTCTGCCAAGTCATCATAAATCAAAACGAGACCTGATCGCCCAGGTGTTCATTATGCATGGCACCTATGGAAGGAAATCTAAGTTCAAAAATTTATTTTTTTCATTAAAGGGAGTTGAGGTCATTAGTTATGGGTTAGGATCAAATATGGACCAGAATCCAATAGAATATGATAAAGTACAAATAGGAAATCTTTATCAATCTAACATGTTTCACTATTATTAAAGCTTCATCAAAGAATGAGATATAGATAAAAAGAAATTCTGGTCTTTTTACTTTTGTTTGATTTTCATTGGGTAATTGTTTCATGTGTATTCAACTTTTTAAACAAATAATTTGGTGACGTTCTGAATTCAAGGAGGCGATGCATCCATCCAAAGTTTCAAGAAATTAAGATTCCAAGTCTACCTGAAAAACCGTAAATATTGCTTTACGTATGTAAGTGTATAATAATTCTAATTTGTCTGTATGGGATTATTGTGTGTGTGTGTGGTAGACATTGTTGTATTTTGGTTTGAGAATGTTTTTATATACAGACATACTGCTTGTTTTAGATAAACATATGAATGTTTTAAATAAAAGTAGGTGACATGTGTTCATAATTGGTAATATTGTTATTAATAGGCTCTTGAAGTACTTTCTTTGTAAAGAATTTTTTTTTAATTAGGGTGGCATTAGTAAAATCAAAGTTATGGCTAGTTTGAATGTTTATTTTTTTTAAATGTGAATCTCTTTTGTGTTTGTAGATACAGGCTTTTAAATCATGTGATGTCTCCCTATATAAATTTTTGACATTGTCAATAATTTATTTGATAATGTTTGGATATCAACCAAGGGATCAGTACAAACAAAAAAAAAAAAATTCTGTGTTCCAACACTTAGTTCAATCGGAAATCTTTTTTAAACAGTCCAGCAAGCAATGTAGTAACGAAAATGAGGTCAGAAATTCACCTCCCCCGCAACAGCAGAAACACACTTTCACTCATCTAAATCCCGGTAAGCAAAAAAGCAATGGCCTTTATTCACCAAATGATTTTTCTGATTGGCCATGCCATTCAGGGAGGAAAGAACATTAGTCTAGTTTCTCAGATATTTAAAGTAGCAGGTTTTTGCTAATTATTTACTTTAATTTTCCTTCGGTAGACCACACACAAAACACACTCTTTTTCAAGGTAAGTGATTTTCTCTTTCGTTACAGTCACCCCTATCACAAACTTCCACGTTTCCAGTAAAGCATATTAGTCTCTCCCGCGACTCGCAACCTGTGCACACGAGCACCGTCCTCTAGTTGTTCCAGGTTTTTACACTCAAGCTCAAAGTTGGCAAGATGGTTTCATTGGTGTAGATATCGTCAATGTAAGCTGACATCACTTGGTGAATTGTCTCATCCTTAGCACAGCATTCATGATGTTTGGCACCACATTGAGCCTGAATCGCATTTGCATTAGGCAGTATCTCTACCCCTTGAAGATCACTATCTTAAACAGCCACAGTGACTGGTGCACATGTACCTGCAAGTAGGCCTTTCGAAGATCAATCACAGAGACATTCCTTCAAAATTCTCATTTTTGTGCAAACATCAGAATGTACCATGTATGTATCAACATATTCATTCAGCTCCCAATAATCTAGTATGGGGTGTAACTTTCCTTTGTTCCTCTGTACCTCGGCCATTAGTAGGATGAGGCCTCTTGGAGGACCAAGCTCTTTCTCTTGGTACAGGGTCAGCCATCTATTATCCAGCCACACCTGCAGTTCATGCTGATATTCTTCCCTGATGTGTTCGGGGCACCAAGTACTCTGACACCCAATTCTGGAGATTCTCTGGTGGGTTATTTTCTGACCATTTCCACTTTCGATGACTGTGCTTTGGTCAAACTCTTCACTAAAATCAGGCCCATTGATCCTTAAGGTAGCACAGATGAGCAGGCTAGAAAATTGAAAACTCAATTCTGTGATGCATACTCCACTCAGCTCCTTAATAATATCCATCCCAAGGAGCAGAAATTGGCAAACCCCAATGTTCTGTTTATGACCAAGACAGTGACGGGGGTCACTGTTGTTGACACTGAGTCTTATGCTTCCAACTCCTCAACTCCTGGGAACCTTTCCATCAGCTGTTAGTACATCCATCTTTTGTCCACTCCACTGCCAACAGATTGATCTGTTCATGAGTGACAGAGCAGTCTGAATCCATAAAAGAAGTATGCATTATTCCATTGATATGCACCTTAATCACAGGGAGTGCCTCTTTCATGCTCTGTGTGGAGAAGAGACTGGCGCTGATGTTGCATCACCCATTCCATTTTTCTGGACATTTAGAGACAATGTGGCTTAATTTCTAACATTTAACACATCATAGATTGGGACGTGCCTTTCGTGCCGACCTGCTGCACATCACTTCATATCAATAGTGATTTGGCCCAGAGCACCAATAGCAGGTGACAGTGCCATGGCGACAGATGGCTGGGGTTGGATCATCTTTGACTTCAATTGGTTGAATGGCTGCGGCAACTGGCTCCTCACCCTCCTTTTCGTCAATCATGATAGCTCAATAACTGGTTGAGTGTCATAAACTGGTTGAGTGTCATGTCTTCCATTCCGGATGATGCTCAGAGTATCTACTTAACATGACTAGGCAATCCAGATGCAAAGGCACGGGTCATCCATTCTTCAGGTAGAAGCGTCATCAGTATGACAAGCTTCTTTAGTTCTGCCAAAAATATGTCTACCGTCTTGCCAGGGTGCAGGTGCCATGTCTAGAATTAGTCATAGGCCATGAAGTGGTTGGTTCCAAATGCAGTTTGTAAAGCATGCTTTATTTGCTCAATGTCAGTTTTTTGTTCATTGTTCAGCTGCCTATACATAGCAAGGACATTGCCTTTCAAATGCAGTGGAAGAATTTGTTTGATCTTTATGATCTCACATATTTCACAGGCCAGTTCCAAATTCTTGATCCACTCAACCACAGGCTGTCCAATCTTTTCACCAGTGGATTCAGGGATCAATTTTATGTTGAACAGTCTTTCTGCCATCTTGCCAGAGACGAAATAAGTGCTGAAATAGTTTGTTTGGGTATCAACCAATGTGGTCAGTAGAAACGAAAAATATTCTAGTTTGATCGCAAATCTGTTGTAAACAGTTCAGCAGGCAATGTAGGGGTTTGAAATCCAATCTTCCCTTTACAACAGCAAAAATATACTTTCACTCACCAAACTCAAAATTGTTCTAAATCCCAGTAAGCAAAAAAACCAACGACCTTTATTCATCAATTGATTTTTCTCATTGACCACACCATTCAGTGAGGAAAGAACATTATTACAGTTTCTCAGATACTTAAAGTAGCAAGTTTTTGCTAACTATTTTCCTTAATTTTCCTTCGGTAGACCACACACAAAACGCAAACTCTTTTTCAAGGTAGGTGATTTTCTCTTTCATTACAAATAAGTACCAGTATTTGAATTGGTGCTGGATTTATTTTTCTTTCTAATTATATTTCTGTTTTTGATGTGCTGGTAAAAATCCTAGTATTTTTAGAAATCTAAATGTTTTCTTGATATATTTCTCTTCTTCCCTTTAGATTCTGTGCTACATATCCTAATGGTTCTGAGTTAGAATCCTATGACTAATCATGATTTTAGTTTTTTGATTGTGGTTGGAATAGAAATTAATCAGATTGTTTTTGTTAGTGGGTTTATGATAAACTTTAAAGTCTAATTTGTTTTCATGTATTATATCCCAATAATATAAATCTATTAGGCATAATAAAAAAAAAAAAAAAAAAAGTTAAGGTTGAACCTACCATTGAATTCACATACAAATTTGAAATAAATCTCTACCTTTCCTTGACATCTTATTAATATGTAACAATAACAAATTAGATTTTAAAGTTTATTGTAAACCCACTAACAAAAATGGTCGAATTAATTTCTATTCCCACCACAATCAAAATAAAATCAGGTACATTAGTTATACAAAAAAAAATAATTAAAGTCTTAAATTTTCTAATAGTAGAGCATTAAATGGTGATCTTAATTTTCAAACTTACAAAGTAAATGATAACATCTATCATTTAAGTGATCACCATAAGGATGAGAATTTAAAGTCTGTTTCTCTCTGTTCTCACACGGAATAATTTACAATGAAATCTTTCAATGGTGGGAACCAGAAAATATGACTTGGCCGTAAAATTACTTATAATATCCAGCTTGCCAAAGAAAAATATGGTTTTAAATTCACAAGATTTGGTAACTTCTCTGTATTTATTTATTTATTTATACTAAAAATTATTTTGAATAGTCTTTTCATGATACAACTGGTGTCTTAAAATTGAATGAGTCACAATTTTCTCTGTAGGCAATAAATAAGGGTGCTCTTAATAAAAGGGGAATCGAAAAATCATTTAAAGGTGTGGAAAAGTGCAAAATTAATAAATGGGGTGATCTGAATATGCTTGTTGGGGTGGTTTGGAAAATTTAATCTTAAAACGTCTCTACCACCTTTTCTATTAGGCATATAAGTCAGGTTGTCAATTAGCTTAATGATGAAAAAAGGCACAACAAATACTTATTTTATGCCATAAACTTAACAATGCACTTTGTTCATTGATGAATAATAATCACATAGATTGAGCATTATACAGTAAATATTTTGGATCAAAATTCAGCTACTGGCTATATATCAGGCTACAGACTTATTGATTTGGCAATTTACTATTTAATTACTCATACCTATAACAACTTCCATTCAGCCAAGCTGTATGAATTCATGCATGACTGTATTTTTTTTTTTTTTTTTTTTTTTTTTTCCAAGAATTAATTTTTTAGCTGTCACAGGTTTCTCTTCACTGTTGTACACTTGGCTTGTTCAGAAAATCAATGAACATGACTTGTACTACTATCACTAAAGTTTTTTATCTGTCCCCCACCCCAATTTGTGTCAACATCATTCGTTTCTTTTTTTTTTTTCTTCTTCCTTCTTGTTATAAGTTAATAAGCAGGTTGAAGGAGAGCTTGGACAATTGTACAAAATGAGTTTCAGAAAGTTTTTTCCTGTTTGCAACGACATCCTGAATTCTCTGTACAAATTTTGTTTTGCAGCTTGCAGATGCTGTTATAGAGCCTTTTACAGACTTATGATGACAACGAAAGCTGGCTGTGTCCTTCGGCCATTCCAACTCTGCCTGTTTTTGCTTATTTCTTTTTCTCTTGTTTATCTCGTCTTTGATGCTTACTCTGTATACAAAATTCCTTCCCGTCTTCTACCAAGAAAAACAGAGCGTGACCGTAACCATGACTACTCCATCTGGCCAGTATATAGACACTATAATAGTAATGCAGTAAGTATTTGGGGTTGTTATCATTTTTATTTTTTTGTTGTGTATGCTAAAATTCATTTGTATGTACTTATATCAATAAGTCCACAGCCCAATAAGGAAAAGAAAAAAAAAAGATTTTTTTTTTATACATGAATATTTTTTAATATAATCTCCTTGTCAATGCACTTCAGTGATAAATATTGATCAAGCATTATACAGTAAAAATTTCAGATCAAAACTCTGCTAATAACTGTATTAGGCTGCAGACTTATTGATGCATGTTTTGTATATTAAAAAATGAATTTTCATGCACAGTTTTTATGTAATAACTGAAATAAATAAAAAGTATAACCATGCTAAAATACTTTCACATAAATACCGTTTAATTAAACACATGTATACATATACCAATGTTATGACACTGTTACCTTCATATGATTCTACCACCTCAGAAACTAGTACAATTTATTAATATAATTAAATGTACATAATTTCTGTACAATTAAGGCTTGTCTGTAGATAAAGGATATTTGAAAATATTGCTTTTATAATAGCATTCATCACAAATTACAATAAGATGCAATTGACATAATACCCCCCCCCCAAAAAAAAATAAACATTGTTGATTATTAGGTTTGTCTATTGAATTTACCATGTACATTATTGTTTGGATTATTGAAGCTGTGTGTGGGAACTTTAGATCAGGATTTTCGTAATGGGTATTTGTATAAATTGTTCAAATTTAGTAAGGCTGACAAGGTCAAAATGGCAACTCATGTACAAAACAACCTCAAGACCATTGTTAACAGGGCTAAAAGATGGCTTGTCAATTTTAATGGCTTCAAAACTAAACTTCACTTCCTTTTAACCATCTAGGAGATCCCTCTCTGCCTTCAATCAGCATGGCTGATGCTAACCTCCAGGAAAATGATTTGTTGCACCTTCTCGGGCTAACAATCTCAGCTGACATGAAGTGGAAAGACTATATTGAATCCATTGCTCGGTCAGCTGCTAAGAAAGTCAGTTAACTGTATCATGAAATAGGTTCTAGAGAGAAAATTTATCTTGTATATTTATAGTCTACCATTTGCCCATGCTTTGAATATTGCTGCAATATATGGTCCAGTGCCCCTGTTATTTACCTGGAACTCCTTGATAAGATCCAAAGAATCAGCAATATTATTGGTCCTGATCTAGCGGCTCGGCTTCAGTCATTTGTCCACCGCTGTAAGTTTGCCTCTCTGTTTTTTTTTTTTTGTTTTTTTTAATAAAGACTTTCATTGTAATTGTTTGAGTGAGGTCTTTGCTATGGGTACCTAGACTTTATGAATTTAAGTGCAGTTCTAGACTGGTGTTGAGATCCCATCAATTTACAGTTTAGCTGGTGAGATGTAGCCATAAGTTCTATGCTAACAGTTTCTTTTCCTGCACTTCTTGCTTGTGGAACTCCTTTCTGGCTTCATGTTTTCCAGCCAACTTTAATCTGCAATAATTTAAATGCAATGTCAATCACTATCTATTTTCTTGATTACTCTTTTCTCTTTCTGCTCATTACTAATGTTTCTATTCCTAATTCCTACACACCCTATAACTCCTTGCATTTTAGTGGCTGTACTGCCTTGCTTGGGGTGATACCAATTAAAAGAAAAAAAAACAGAAACTGTCTCATTAACACATTTCACTTCAGCATTGAATTACATTGATTAATTTTTTCTTAAATTTTAATTATTATTAATTTATCTTTTCATTGGATTAATTTTTCTTCTCTATATGCAAGTGCAACCTTGAATAAATGTTTATATAGCCATGAGTTTTGTTTATCAATTCAAAGAAATTGTATCTTAATCTCTTAAATTTGGAAACTCCCTCATCCCTACAGGAAGCAGTTTATGTAAGTGATAGATGGAATTAGTTCAAATATTTTGAGTTATATTATTTTTACTGAAGAATCATAAAATATGTAAGTGTGTCAGAGTGACATTTGGCAGTGGAGTTGGTTTTCAGTGATGTAGTTTTAAAAATATTATACATAGATATAGCTGCATACCAGCATGTGTTTCTTCTTGCAATACATTCAAGATGGAGATAGGTCAAAGTTATATTTGATCTTGCCCTACTCTCCTAAAAAAAAAGTTCTTCAGTACTACTTTTAGTCTTAACTGGCTGATGATCAAATGACTCTGAAAACAGCAGTTAATTGATCACCAAAGTTAAGCAGTGTTGAGCCCGGTCAGTACTTAACTTGGGAACTTAAGAACACAGAGTACTGTAAGCAACTTCCTACAATACTGTTTCAGTTTTAAACAGTTGCTTGATTTAAGTCAAACTAATTTAAATTATTGATCTAAATCAATTTTACAAAACTATTTAAAGCAAAAGATTTAGAAAGAAAACAATGTTCTTTGTTTTTATGTAATTTCATGAAGGAAGTGAAATGTTAAACCTATTGAATCTTTTGCTATAAAATAAAATTATAACTATTTTAACAAATTTTAAAATTCAACATGGCCAGTATTTGCATTCATTGATTTAAATTTGCTACTTCATCTATCCCAAGAAATGTTACTTGATTTGGGATGCACCCATCCATAGTATATGAAAACTTGTTCGTCACCAGAAATTGAGGCCACTGCTGACAGAAGTTGCCTAACTGCAGAAAGTAAATCACTGCTCAATGCACTGTCCAATAGCAGACACAGTCTTGTTTGTGGAGTCTGCAAATTTAAATGCCTGGGAAGAAACCTCACTTGCAACTTCATGATAATGGGAACAGGTATGGGATATTTCTCACTGGCATATTCCATTGCAATATTAACTTTCTTGCTTAATGATTTTCCTTGAAGGTAAGGATGAACTATGTTGGCAAGAAGGTGGGCTTTGGTGATGACTTGGTTGTACCATTTCTTCACTATTCCTATCTTTTTTTTTTTTTTTTTTGTTCAGGAGCTTTCACAAAATTCTTGAATAATTCTTTCCAAATATCCACTGCTTCAACAATATCACATGTCATGCTGTAATTTGTCAGAATTGAAAACTAGTAACTTTAATTCATTTACAAATATTTAAAATCGAACATTAAACTAAAATGTCAAAAACATATTTTCAAAATGATTAAAGTCTTTTTAGTATTAAAACAAATGATCTATGCCAGATTTTTTTTTGTTTACAAGATACTATTATTATACAATGTACAGTGTAAAAAAAAAAAAAAAAAAATTGGTCGTATGGGAAACTTAATATTAAATTTAAATTCTCACCTTTTAAAAAGGTGTTTAATACTTTTCAAAATCAATTGCTTAATATATATTCAATGTGACATTCATATTAAAGCATTTATTTATTTATGGGGAATCAGAACAATCTTATAGTTCCTGGGAAAATTTTGAGATTTTTAAACATTTGGCATAATTTAGTCAAGGTTCCCCTAATTGAAATTTGTGCCACAAGTTAAAAAAAAGAACAAAAAAAGAACAAATTTATAAAATTGTACAGGAACATATGATAGGGAAATTGTTTTGATAGGCATTTATCCATGCAGATTTCTAGTATTTAGCACCTTATAGATTTAAATAATAGAAAAATGAGAAACTGTACTGCCTGGAAATAAACAGATTTCATTAACTTTCAAAGTTAAAAAACACACAGAGACAGGAATTGAGAAACCAAGATCTAAGTTAAAAAAGATATTAGCCAAAAGTGTTGCTAACATAAAAAAATTACAAGATTATTTATGTATAAATCGATCATATATAGCTGCTGATCACCATGTTAATCTGTTATTTTAAAATGCCTTAAGAACAAAATAGTTGTATGACTTTATTTGAAAAAACAAACAAGTTTGTAAGTTGAATGTAAATGCACTCAATACCTTAAAAAAATGGCAAAACTTAAATGTAGATTTTTATTGGCTAAATTGGGAAAAAGGCAACCAGAGATAACCAAAAATTAATTTGGCAACTCTAAATTATCCTATTATCTTAATCTCTCAAGCTATTTGTATCAGCTTCGCTCTTTATTTTGCTTTTTTTTGTAGGCAAAAATGAAAACAAATCAGTTTTTTTTTTTTTTTTTAAGTCAACAATCCTGGTTTTAAATAATGACAAAAGGTTGAAAAGCCATAAAAAACAGTTGATCTTCTGATTTGTCTGGAACAAATTTTGCATAATATTTTTGAATATGAATTAATTTTAATTAATTAGTCTTTTTCGTTGTAGGAATGGGTTCGTGCAAAGTGTTGGCATAATGAAAATCTGTCAATTTCCAATTTATATTCAAAGTTGATGATTCTAAAAATATCGTCCCAGAATGAGTGCAGGTAAGAATCTGTTTAGCTCCACTATCTGACATTAAACAGTTGTAATTAGTCCATTTTTGGCAACTGTACTTATGGAGATCAAGCTGTTCAGTACAGATAAGCAACTTGTTCTTTTGTTTTTGTATTCTTTACTCTTTTTCTTTTAAAATTTTTAAATGTCTTTTCTTTGTATATCTATTGACAAGCTTGTATTAGTGATTGTTTGGGGACCCATGTCAATTTTAAATTCATTGTTTATATTTGCTTTGTATTTCTTAATTGTTTTAACAGTGACAATGTGTACAAATTGTAAAAACATGTAATCTGATATGCATTGCAAATTGGTCATAGGGTAAATATTTTTGTAGAAGGGAGGAAAACATTTATAAGACTTTGTGAAAAAATAAATTGTGCAAAACTATTTCTGAATGTTTTATCTGTTGTCATGTCCAGTTGCTTTATGCTTATCTCTAGTACAATTTAATTTTCATGATGAAATGTTCTTGAGAATCCTGTTGAGTCTAACTGCTGTTGTCTTTAATATATTTATACATGTTCAGATTGATCAACTTGATTTGTAAATGATAGTAAAATGAACTTTTTTTTTTTTTTTTTTTTTTGAGTTGTATTTTGGCTATCAAATTTTTATAATTTTCAAAACCTAAATTTTGTTTACAAAATATTAACAAACTGTACAAGTATGCTTGGCTCTTTTTAAGAGATGACTGGTTATCACCTGATATGGAACATTCATCTTTTCTAGATATTAAAATGTAAACTTCTCTTTTATTTCCTTCATTTAAATTCTACTACTTAAAAAAAAAAAAAAATGCAAAAATGCAGCAGTGAAAGTGTTAGCATTGTTGTCTGGTTGTACTGGCCCCTTTTGTGGGGAAAATAGGAAATTGCCATTTACAGGAAATAAATGACTATATGTAAGCTGATAGCAAATTTCTCAAGGGTGCCATCATTTAGGCTTCAGTGGGATACTTTGCAGTAGAGACTAAGCTAAATAGTGCATAATAAAAATGCATATCTGGTTTTATTGTATGCCACTTACTATATGTCTGTTCTGGTTTGGAAATAGTGCTAAACACTGATTACTTTATAACAGTGTTTCTCAACCTTTTTAAGCAACTAAAAATACACTGAGCAAAAGTTTTAAAGGGTATATATTTAAATGTTATGAAATAAAACCATAGATTTAAAAAGAAAATACACAAATATGAACTTATTTTAATTGAATGGTTCTATTTAACTATTTGTGCAGCTTAGTGTTAAATCTGTTCTTGGTACTTTTTTCATGATTTCTTCAATGTTTGGTCAAATGTGCGAAGTTTAGTACTTATTCATTTATTCAAATACTAAGGCTGTTCCATTACTACTTCCACACACACACACACACACACACACACACACACACATGTATATGCATACTGTGACATTATTTTGTGGCACAATAGTGTGCTGCAGTGTGGCGGTTGAGAATCTCTACTTTATAACATGAAGTGGAATGTATCCTGTCAGAATGTTTTTCACTGCAAAGTCCATCTTGCACATTTACACATCTACCATTTGTCTGTGCATTGAATACTGTTGTCATATTTGGTCTGGTGCCCTTGTTGTTCATCTTGAGGTTCTTGACAAAATCCAAAGAAGGATCTTCAATGTAATTGATCCTGACTTGACATCTCAGCTTCAGTCATTTTCTCATAGATGTGATGTAGCTTCTCTGTCTTTTCTATAAATATTTTCATGCCAACTCCTCTGACAAGCTTTTTCCTTGGTGCCCTGACTACATGAATTTAAGTGTGTTACTAGATTGGCATCTAGGTCCCACCCTTTTACTGTTGAAATAGTTAAATGTAACAGTCATTTCTCCTCCAACAGTTTTTCTCACACTTCATGATAGCTACAATCCTCAAAAATTTAAATGCAACATCAATCACTATCTTCTGTCGTTGTGCCCCCCTTTCATCTTTTATCCTTTTCTCCCTCCCCCTATAGACAGTCTTTTCTTTTATTTTCATTCTCTGTAACCCCCTATGTACTAGTGGCACTCCAACCTTGCTTGGGATGAAATGCTTAAAAAAAAAATTTAAAAAAAATAATGAATGCTAGGGACCAAGATTTTATGGTGACTGGAAAATGTAAATATATCAATAGCAGGCAATGTAAGTTTTGTACAGATACAAATACATTTGTAGCAGCTGATGTGTTAAAAAATTTAAGGTGTGTTTTTTTTTTTTTTTTTTTTTTTTTGTTGTTTTTTTTTTTTAAATCTCTTGTTCTGATCGTTGTTTATATACAATTTGTTGAGGACCTATTAAATCTTTGTATTAGCATTTCCAATTCTGTTAAAATTTTCTTAATACACAAAGGACTTTAACAAGGCTGCAAATAGATTTTCTGTTGATAAATGTACAGAATATTATTTTTTTACTTGATCTTGTCCTTTCACTTTAAATTAACATAATTTGAAATTATCTACACAAATATCTAAATCTCTCTTGATATAAAGATTTATTCTGCTTTCTTGTATGTTTTTTGCTTACTCCAGATTACTTAAGATGAAGTCAGTTGTGTTGAAAATGCACATAAAATACAAAGTGATTAGATTTAAATGGGGGTTGGGTAGGTGATAGAAATTTTACTTTGCACAATTTGTAAACCTTTTAATTCTCAGAAATATTATGTAAGCTAAATGTCGTATTATATTGATATTTGTTCATTCTTATTTAAAACATTTCGAATTGATTTAATTTTCTTCTTGCTTTCTTTACCAGGGATTTATATGAGAGACTTTCAAATATTTTTACGGTCACCCAACGTTCTGGTCAATTAGTGTTGCCTAAACCTTTTGCTGTTAAAGTGAAAAACTGGCTGGGCCAAAATGAAGAATTGTATGCTGAAGCTAAATACCAGGTGAAATTTGGTGTTTAACTAACTTCCCCTTTCCACATTAAACTTAAAAGCATTGATTTCAATATCAGCTGGATAATGACCAGTCATTTGGCACTGTGATTTCTTATAGTAGCAACTTTTATAGGATAAGAGTTTGCATATTTAAACACTGGTTTTGGTTGATGTGAAATACCTGAAATAGGATTAAATGATAAATTAGGACAAGTTAAAGAGCTTCAGGTTAGTTATGTGGAATTTACTCCAGAAATACTGACAAAAAATAGAGAAAAGATGGAGTATCAACTAATTTTCACTTTTTTATATATTATATAATAGTTACATTATTTATTTGTTGGCTTTTCAAGGCCAGATTAGAAAATGAAGCCAATTCAACAATTTTCTGCAATTTGCTCTCTAATTACAAATTGGCCTGCCAGTGGGGCTGAGAATACACAGACTGCATACATTACTGAGGGCTAAGATCCTCCAAGAAGAGGACACCTACTGCTTATTGTCTTGAATGTAAACAATTAGCAGTGTTTTACTTTTGTGTCCACAAAATAATGGTGTCAAAAAGACTGTTATTCTCTTGACACTACTATTACAGTGTTTGTTTATTTTTACTTTGACTCCTTTGGCAATGTTTACAAGAATATAAAAATGTGTGAACCAAGTACAATGTAATATTTATTATTTATTTTTTTTATAAAAGATTTATTATATACCAATTTATAAAGAAACAAATTTAAAATATCTTATTAAAAAATCTATAAAAAGATTACAAAATTTTCAATATATAAACCAACAACAATGCAATATTTGCAGTAAAAAAAGAGAAAAAAAACCTTCTATAATTAAACACAAGGAAATCCTTTGTCCATGCAAAATATTGAGTATTTGTGGTCTCTCCTAAAATTAAAATATTAATATTTTTATAGTTTTTTTCTGTGCAAAATGGCAAATATTTCATTATAATTGGTTCACATCTTTTTATAATCTTGTAAATATAAAATTACTCCTGTCAATAAGCAATCTAATAGTGTCAAGAATAAAGAAAATATATATAAATCGACTCTCATATGTTTGGTTTTTAACATTTTAATCAACAGTTTTTAAAACAAACATTGCTGAAGCAGTAAAAACAAACAAATGTCAAGGAAATAACTGTCCCTTTGACACACGTTTTTATTTATATTGGGTGGGGGGCACAAAGGTTAAACATTGCCAAACAATCAATATTTACCTCTTATCAAATCAAGATGCTGCTTATAGACTCAAATATTATTATTATAATATTATTATTATATTATAATATTATTTATTATTATTATTATAATACCAACAACAACAGTAGTAGTAGTTGACATGTAAATCATCCAACCCAACTCGGTTGTTTTATAATGTATTTGTTTATTTTTTCTTTTTAAAAAATCCAAGATATTTTAAGGGAAGAAAATATACATTGTACAAAATTTGGATTATTTTCTTTTTGAGATTTTAAATTTACACATTTTTAACACCTAGATAATTCCAATTTGCAACTAAAATTGTTTATCATCAGTTCTTGACTGTTGTTAGTAAATTAATGTTGTCTCTAAAATAGTCTCTATTATAGCCTTCTAGCATATTGTCATTCAAACCAAAAAAAAAAAAAAAAACAATGTTTTGTTCCCATTTAATTGCCACAATCAAAACTAAGTGATAACTTGTTTAAAAATATGCAAAATTGAAGAAAACTCATCAGGTTCTTTTTATTGTAATATTGCTCTATTTTCTTCCTTCAAGTGTTTTTTTTTTTTATTAATTTTTGTTCTTTCTTTTACAGCATATAACACTTGTATTTAATGAATACACACGAGACAATACAATGTTTAATCCTCTAAGAGCCAAAAGACCTGTTCATAAGCCTGATCTACCTCAGAGAGAATAGTAAGTCAGTTTTCCTTACTTTAACAGGTTCATGTGTTTAAGAAATTTGGTTGCTGGCAATAATGGGAGGTAACCGTGACAATGAATTTCATTTACCTGAGAACTGGCTTCAGAGAGAGCGTTGAATCTTCACTTTGTCAAATAGTTCACTATGCTGAAAAAAAAAAAATCCGTAGAAAATTAAGATAACTCTTATATCAGAATAGTGCTTTTTTATTTTTATTATGCATTATTTTAAAATTACACAAGTTAATTGGATTATTTGTTTAATAATGGAAGCTTTTTCTTCTATGTGAAAATGAGTTAAATATTAAGTCTTTGTATTCATATAACTCTTATTTTAATATTTTTATTTTAATCATTTTATTTTTTAAATGATACATAATTTAAAATAAAAGCATAAAGAATTATTCAGATATAAAACTTATCTTTCTTTAAATTCCTACATTTTGATTTAGCCTTGATTTGGCTATATCTTATAAAACAAAACACTGGTTCTTGTATGATCACTGAAATTAGGCAACATTTAGCCTTGGATGGTCAACCGCTTGAAAATACCAGATGCTGTAAACTTGGATATGTCGGTGGTAATTGCTTGGAATTGGAACTCTAACAGCCGAGTTCCAATTCTAATTAGGTTCGTTATATTCACATGTGCAAATACCCTTGGGAAAGGGTATGAATCCACCTCTTCTCTCCCAGCCATGGTTTAATTAGTAGAACTTGTATTAATAAATCATTATCTCCAAAAAAAAATTTCTTAAGTTATAAAAATGTACTGGTTTTAAATAGCCTGCAAAAGGTTGATAAGCAATGAAAAAAGAAAATAAATTGATTTTCAGTAAAATGAACCATTTCAGAAAGTGAAGATTTAATTTAACTTTCAGTGAAGTCTATTTTCAGATAAATGAAATTTGCTGTCAAAAAGAGGACCCAGCAATAATTGTCTATAATAGAAAGTTCAATATGTTCAAAACACTTCAAAACATGTGATGCTTCTAGACTTCCCATGAATGTATATAATATTTTAAATATTTATGAATTTGTTGTAATACTTTATTAAAATTTTGCTTTAAAGTACTTTTCAGAAAAATTTAATGTTGTGTAATCAGTCTTGAATAACTAATATATTTTAGTTATGAAGATGAAAAGCAGGCAAAAATAGACCCTTGTCTAATAAGAAAGTTAAGAATGGACTAGCTTCTCCAAAAACTATTTAAGCAAGAAATAATCTTTTCTGAAAAAGAGCCCACTAAAAATTAATTTGCTACATTATTTTAAAAGTAGATAAAGTCTAAAATGCCCCACAACTTTTCTGTAGATGATGAAATTCTTCAATAAGGAACTCTATTAATTTTTTTTTTTTTTTTAACTGGAAAATCAACTCTACTTTAAAAATGTCTTTTTTTTTCTTTTCTTTTTTTTTGCTAGAATATAAGCCCAAAAATTGTTTTTAAAAAATATTAATTATTGCATAGAATTTGACAGTAAATGCTCCTTTTTCACCTACAATTTTGCTATATGTAGGAACCTATATAGCCCATAACAATGTCACTACTGCATTGGTCTTCAGGTTCTTTCAGACCAATGTGGTTACCATTTAGCTAACTCCTCACTCGTTAACATTGCTAGTTTGTCACTGGTATCATGATGATAAGCACAGTTCCACTCAAATTAGCTTGCATTCGTCTCCCTCACGACCATGCACTCATTTGCCATGTTGTGTTTTTGATCTCAGAGAGTGGGAAAATCGCTGCTGAAGTAAACTTTAAGTGAAGACCAGGTTGACAGTAAAGCAAATTGGGAAATGGTTTTATCTCTTTCTTGGGAAATTAGAAAAACTCATCATTGGCAAAAAGAGAAGCAGATGGGGAATTATATTTTTGTTAGTGAAAATGAATTGAGAAATGAAAACTGAGAATGAACCAGTGTGAGGCTTGGATGTATGAAAATCGATCCGTCATAACAGGCACGTGATCTGGTTTGTTTTCACTAAGATGGTGACTGGCCCAAGGATGGAAAACAGCATATCAGTTTGTTGAGAATTTAGGTAAACAAACGTATTTTCATTGACGAAAACAAATTGGGAAATAATTTTTATCTATATCTATGTTTTCACTAGGTCCAGGAAAGAAGTCAGAGAATTGAAATTAATGAGGAGATTAAAGCATGTCCTTTCTCCTGTGCACTTTAAAAATTAGATTTGTCACAAAGACAGTTATGCCAGCTGTGAGAAGTGGACAGAGTTAGAATACCAAGGAGGAAGGGGAAGAATTTAGCTCCACCTGTGCAGTGTAGCAGTTTGAGATGTAATGTGAAGCAGGTTGGAGTTAAGGAAAGAGCAATCCCTGTGACTACTCTCAAGGAAGGTGGATAATTCCCCAAATTTGGAAAGTTGATTCAGAAAGCAGAAATAGGGAAAAAAACCTTTATTGGAATTAATGAAAATTGGAGAATCACTGAATCCCCCAGAACCCTTTGATCCCATGCCAGGTTTGCCCTGAAGTGCATATAAGCAGATGACTTTGGGGAGCTTAACTTTGGGCTGAAATCCTGCATTGAGTGCCTTTGAAATCCATGTCAGTTGCGAACCAGATTTCCTGCTTTCAAAGACTTTGAACCCAGCCCCTCCCAGAAGTTTAGACAAGGCCCAGTGTCACTATAGAAATTGATGCAGCAGGGTTAATTTTTGTTGTATCAACAGCTATATAAACCAACTGAAAATTAACCCTACAGATCTCTCATTTTATTTTTCATTGTGAAGATATTTTTCCCTTAATTTAGCAAATGCTATAGCTTCAACCAGTGCTGCAAAACTATGACCTTCAATTTTCCACTGCACTGAGATCAAGAACACAGTGTGAGCAGAGTTTGTGTGAATTGAAGTGACCAACAACCAGCTTGGACCAGCATCAGCATTGACCAGCAAGAGTTAGCTCCATGGTTAAAATGTTGTTCTAAGAACCTGAGGGCCAGACCACTAAAACCTTGTTCCACCACAAAGTGTAGGTGGTGGTGAAAGGTCTTATCTTGCACCATCACTCTATGTAGGTGGTGTCAATCCCTCCTCCTCTCTTCCATTTTCTCAGCCTATTTCCAAACGCTGATACAACTGTCTTTGTGACAGAGGCAAAAAGAGTTTCCAGTAATTAATCTTTCTTTATCAGTTTGTCTCACTCTGTTTTTAGGTGATTTCCCAAAACCAGGACCATATTCTAAAATAACTGGAGCCAATCCAAATGGCCCCTGCCAGCCAATCTCAAGAATTTTGTTCATCCACAGCTGTCATGGGTGGGAGAAAAAGGAAAGAAAAATATTCCCAGTATTTTTACTAATAAATAAAAAAATAAAAATAATTTCTTTTCATGTTTCTCGGTCAACAAGTCCACACAGTTTTTGCTTATGGTCACTCTAAGTTAACTGGAGAAAATTCAGACCCCCCCCCACACACACACATCCAGCCAATATCCCAAAATCTTGAAAATTGTTTGTTTATCCAACAGTCACTCTACTTTCAGTTTAATTATTTTCCTTTTTAGTACACTGGGCCCCACCAAAAGAATGCAACTCAATCCTTTTCATACTCTCTGCAAACTTTTTCTTCTCTTTCTTTTCTTTTTCCTGAGGCCCCAGTGCCATGAACTCCTGTGCAAAGAAAGCAATTTTATTGCTTGTGGTTATCTACTAACTGTAAAATGAAATGGACTGAAAACATTTCAATAGGCAAATGTGTGTGTGTGTGTGTGTATGGTTCTTTTCTTTCTTTCTTTCTTTTTTTTTTTTTTTTTTTTAATCCTTAGCATCTATGGCTTGAACTTTGGTTGCTTTGAGCACCTTTTAAATTGGTGAACTTTTATAATTTTCAAAATGCTATTAATATAAGGCATCTTTGTAATTTTTGTTACTGTCATTTTATTTTATGACTATAATTTTACTTTGCAAAGTGGTTTTAGCTTAACAAAAGTCTTGAACATGAAAGTTTTGCTGATTTGAGCTATTGAAATTGCAGTTGGTGAGTTTCTACAGTACTAGGAGCTATGCAAATTTAAATTTGTTTGCATTTTGAGTTTTTCCACCAATTTTTAATTTGAAACTGGTGGGTGGGTAAACAATATCTCTCAAAGGGAAATTAATGATATCCAAAATGAAAACATAAAAAAGGCTGGGTAACTAGACAGATTAACAAATTCATCTGTTCAAATTTCACTATTTGAATGGATGAATTTGTTCATCTGTCTAGTTGCTCAGCATTTTTCATGCTTTGCCTGACACTTTATTCCTTTCTTGAAATTATTCCACAAGGAAAATAAAGAACTTTTTTTTCTAACTCTCCTGCTCTCAAGGAAGCCAGTCTTTTGGATAGCCTATAAAAACCTTCTTTTTTTTTTCCTCTCCATTTCTGTAAATGAAACTTTAAGTTCCTCTTTGTTTTTCTTTCTATCTTTTTTTCTTTTCTTTTTGTTAAATGAATGATAAATGATTTGTTAGATCAAGTGATTAAATAAGAGAGAGAGGAAACAGCTGTTTTTATGACCACCTATTATGCTTTGAAAAAAAAACAAACAAAAACTCACCTGCTTAAATTGAAAGGTTCCAATTTTTTTTCTTTGTGAGTTGTGTACAAAATCTATTACTTTTAGTTGTGTATGTAAAAGCCTTTATGTAAACAGCAGATCACAAATTATATGAATAAATTCATTTACTACTTTTTCTTCACCCCATTCACAAGAATAGCAAAAATATGTTTACTTCCTAATATTATTTAACTTCCAGAAAAGCCAAAAAATATGTACTTTAAACTTATCAGTGAAAAGATTGTTTCAGTCTTTAATTTTTTGTGTATTAATGATTAAAAACTTTAAAAACTACACTTACCACAAGAAATAGTGATATTCAAAAACATTTTTTTTCTTTTTAGTGTTGACCAACTTTCTATAAAAACTGCCAAATCCTGTGACTTTTGTAACTACACAAGGTGAGTAATAGTTTTTATATATGGTTTCATTTTATCTTCCGATCATTCAGCATTTGAAAAGATGTGAAATTGTCTTGGATAGGGATATATATATACATGGCAGTGGAGGCTGTGCTGAAAAGTTCATAGCCTGATTCACTTCCCCCGTGAATTTAGTTTGTTTTTAAAATTTAGTTTGTTTTTAAAATCTTTCTTTTTCACTTCTTTTTAGTTTTTTGGTCTTGACTAAGAAAAACTGAATTCAAACTTGAAATGTGTCAACTATCAAATGACCAAATCATTAATGATCAAGTTAGAAATTAAGAAAAAAAGATTTCTGTAGAGAAATTAAAACGTTTTCTAAGTTTATTGTATTTAGATAATTTGGGCATATGGAAATAGGCACTATTTCAGTTGACTGGTCCACTCATAATAAAAAAAAAAAAAAAAAAAAGGAAAAAATTTTAGAGGGTGGGGGATAATTCTTGGAGATTAGCATTCTTTAGATCTTCATTAGGCGACAACAATTGTCAGAATTGAAAAAATATTCATTTATTGATTTAGAAGTGGGAGTACTGTTGATAATATCAATACTTACAAATCAATCCTTGATGTTGTATAGTAGTTGGCCTTTAGGTTAAGTTACTTAGCTGCTATTTACAAATGTCAAGTTTGAAATTGTGCGAGCATCACTGATACTTGTATATTTAAAAAAAATTTTCTGAACTTTAAGGTGTTTTTTAGCTCTTTTTTTCTCTTTTTCTTTAAAGCTTTCTTTTTTCAAACCATTTTTCATGTTATTTTTTCCCAAAATCTCTGATGTTAGATCCAGTCATTTTGTCAGTTTGAAGTGGGTTGGGTCAGAAACTTTTCAGGCCCCTATCCCCCAATCCAAGTGTATCATCTTAGTTATTTGAATTTTGAACTGAAACTGTATGTTTGATCTCTGTGCTGAATATTCATAACTGAAAGCTGGGAAAAAAAATTTTTTACAACTTTTTTTTTTTTTTTTTCCCCCTAAATCATTGGGTTATAGATTTATTGATGTATCTAATAAGTCTCAGAGCTTGGCTCATGTTGAGATGACTATTATTCATTCTCTTCATAAGTATCTTGTAGTAAGATCCAGAATCGCTATTTCACTAAACTTTGCTTTTTATGTCTTTGGGTAATTATTGCTTATATTTTCCTTTTTAGAAAATTTCTTGAACTTGAATCATTTTCAAAATAATCAACTGTGGGCATTGTGTTTTTTTTTTTTTTTTTTTTTTTAGCCTCATAGGGCATTCATACAGGTCTATTTAGATACAAGGCCATCCTGATTTTGATGTCAACAGATCACCAGTATTATTAACTCCTCTTTATACATAAAATTGTTATGAAGATTTCATGTGAAAAAAAAACAACAACCTTGTTTGTGATGAGTAAGTGCTGATGAGCCCAAATAAAAAAACCAAACTTATATGGACGGCTAAAACATCCTGTCAATTTAGGTTTTGATTTGTAAATATTGTTTTAACTGTTAATTGCTTGAGGTTTGCATTTTCTTTTCTTTTTTTTTTCTGTTAAAATTAGTTTTCAAATTATAAAATCATTTGTTCTTGTATGTTTTTCTAATTAGTAAAGAACTAGTTAACAAACTATATAATACTAGCAGTAGAGCTCGGCATTGCTTGGGGATGTAACAGTAAGAGATAGATCAAGTATCGACCATCATAAAGACTGAAAAATAAAATTGACAAAGATTATTGTTTAAGGTTGACGGACACACGTCTTAATTGGATTTTTTTTTTTTTTTTGACGAATTGGTAAAACTCAAACAAAAACATAGTTTTCAATCGTTATGAGTCTACCGATTGAATAGAATTTTTCAATTTTATTATAAACAATTGTCTTGTAAATGGAATTTTTAAAGCATTCTGAATGTAAAAATCAAGAAAAAAGTGTGCAAGACAATAAGAAACAGTACCTACCAAAAAAAAAAGTGAAGTTTTGTTGAAATCGGTTGAAAAATGTAGGAAATCCAATATATAAATGAACAGACACACACATAACCTGGGTTTTATAAGTATGATTGGGATTTATTTTGTGTTTTTATTCAAGAAACCTCTTGATAGCCTCTATAGGAATCACTTTTTCCAGATGTACTATCATAATAACTCCAATCACAATAGATGCCTATTTGTGTCTGCTCAAAATAATTGTAAACAGCTTCTTAAAGAAGCTATCTTTGTTTGCTGATAGAATGAAGCACAATATAGTGTCTAACAACTTTGACTCTTTTGACTACTAGTGGCTCTGTAATAGTGTATTGAATAAGAGTAAGTTTTCTATTCCTTCTCTCTCTCCACTCAATTTGAAGTGTTATCATCTTCTGTTGATAAAGTGTATTGTTTTGCTCATAAATTCTCTTCAAATTTTACTCTTGATTCATCTGGAGTATCTTTACCCAACTTCCCTCTTAGAACTGAGTCTCTATTGAGTGAAATGCATATAACTCCATCCATAGATTCAGCCACCATCTTTAAACTGGATCCTCACAAAACGTGTGGACTTGATGGTATCCCTGCAATAGTCCTTAAGGTGCTCCTGAACTGGCTCCTGTTCTTTCTAAACTTTACAATAAATACCTTGTTGCTTCTTGCTTTCCTGTTTGTTGGAAAGCCACTTCTGTACTTCCAGTCTTTAAGTCAGGCAAATCAGAGATACTTGATAAAATTCAAAGAATCTCTACTTCAGTCATTTCCTTACCACTGTGCTTTTTCTATAAATACATTCCTGGCAATTGTTCTGATAAACTTTCCTCTATTGAAGGTTTCTTTTTCCTTTAAACAGATTCAAGTCT